ACCTCAATTCCCAAGAAATACTGTAGTTCTCCCAAATATTTGACCTCAAATTCTTGGTGAAACAATTGCTTAAGAGAGTCAATCTCACGGGTATCACTCCTTGTCACCACAATATCGTCCACATATACTGCAAGTAAAGTCAAGGAGGAATCCATTCTTTTAATGAAAAGGGTGTGATTTGATTGGGCTTATACATAGCTGAATTTTTTAAGGGCTTGTCTAAATTTATCAAACCATGATCTTGGAGACTATTTCAGTACATATAAGGCTTTATTCATCCGACAAACCTTCTTCCCCGTTTCTATACTATAGAATCCAAGAGATAACTCCATATACACCTCGTGCAAATCACATTGAGGAAGGCATTTTTTACATCTATCTGAAACAATGACCATGAGAAATTTGCTGCAATGGATAGTAAAACTTTGATAGTATTCATCTTGGATGTTGGTGCAAAAATCTCCAAATAATCTATGCCATGTCTTGTAAACCCCTTTGCAACTAATTTGGCCTTATATCTTTCAATGGAGCCATCAACATTATGTTTCATCGTAAACACCTATCTACACCTAACCGGTTTCTTCCCTTTAGGCTGATCAACTAACTTCCATGTATTGTTCTTTAGAAGAGCCTTTCATCATTACCTTCGTTGCATCCTTCCACTCAGGTATTGACAAGGCTTCTTGCACTGTTCTGGGAATGGAAATAGCAGCAATAGATGCCATAAAAGACTTATAGGACGGAGACAAATGATCATAAGATAGAAATTGGGAAATACAATGAGTTATAGATGAGGTACAATGGTGCTTCCCTTTACGGATTGCAATTGGAAGTTCAAGATCATCCAAAGGAGGAGGAGAAGGCTCAACAATGGGAGGTATCTCATCTGTAGTGGGAGATAAAGGAATTGTGGTACTTGGATCTAGATCGAAATCAACCTACCTCCATCGCCTGTGATACACCCTCAAATCTTGGCATCCTTGACAACCCTCCTCATTACACTCCCCTTCAATGATTGGGACAGGTAATGAAATTTTTGATGAATGAGACCCCCATCTCACTACTCTCCCCTTAAGAAGAAATTCTATGATAATAGGGTACGCCCTCAAAGAATGCGACATCCATAAAAACATACCGTTTACTAGAAATAGGTTCATAGCAGCAATATCTTTTTTGATTTTGTACATACCTAAGAAAAATACATTTTGAATATTTAGGATCAAATTTGGAGTGATGAGACCAAAGAATTTGAACAAAGCAAGTACATCTAAAGGTCTTAAGGGAAATAGTAAACAAATCCTTATTGGGATACAAATGGTTAAATGGAATTTTAATGTCTAGGACTCGTGAAGGAACTCGGTTGATGAGGTACACAATAGTATGGATGGCATCCATAGTTGTCAAGGCGGCGCGTAGGCGGCAAGGTGCCCTTTGAGTCTCGCCTCGCCTAATTGCCAAGTGGTTTTGTACTATGCATTATAAAATACTTTTTTATTCTTTATTTTTTGAGATTATAATTATAAAATAGGCACTATCAAACTAAAATATTCATTTTGTGTGCTTATATACTAATTTCTTTTTATTTTTTTCTTATTTGTTAGGGTTTAATCAATACAAACATTGCTAAATTCTGTATTGAACTCTCAAAGTCTTTAAACCTGAACCAATAAGTAAGGAAGAACTTAAAATTTTGTCTACTACTTTTTCTTTTCTTCTTTTCCTATAACAAAAATAAGAGTTCAATCCCTATATTTTTTGAATTTTTTTTTCCTTCTTTTTCTTCTCATGAATATGTTGATGTTCTATACTTTAACATGAACTCTATACTTTTCTTTTGAAAATTATGAATAATTATTAAGGATTATGGTACCTAGGGGACTACCCTAGGATCGATGTTTTCTACATAAAAAAATCCATTGCCTAGGCAATTTCTAGGCATTCGCCTAGGTGACAAGGCCCCCCTTGTCGCCTTTAAAACTTTGATAGCATCCCTAGAAATGTGTGGGAACATTTGAGTTCAGCATAATGCTTTTGGTCACCTCCAATATATGCCTATTTTTTCTTCTCAACAACACCATTTTGTTGAGGTGTATGGGGATATGGGGATAGGTGCTCTGATGGATAACCCCATGGTCAATGAAATATGAAGCCAATGGTTTTGCAAAATACTCTTTAGCATTATCAGATTTGAAAATTTTGATTTTGACCCCAAATTGGTTCAAAACCATATGATGGAAAATCCAAGTCAAGGTAGGGACCTCATCTCGAGAACGCATAAAATAAACCCATGAGAAACGAGTGTAGTCATCAACAAATAGCAAAAAATATTTGTATCCCCCCATAACAGTAATGTGATATGGTCCTTAAACATCGGTATGCACAATTTCAAAAGGAATACTACTTTTATTGCTCCAAGAATAGGTTATTTTATAGTTCTTTGCAAGTTCACAACTTTTACATTTTAAATTAGACATTTGAACTAACTCAAACAAACTGGGAAATAAACTCTTCAAAGACCTAAACGACAATTGACCTAATTAATTGTGCCACAACATAACTTGGTTCACAGATTGAGAAACTAATGACCTCCCCACTTCTTTATCTTCCCCATGTGAATGTCCTCCAAGCAGGTAGATTCCATTCGTCTCATGGCTAATCCCAATCACCTTTCTTGTCTCCAGATCATGAAAAACACATCGTTCAGGAAAGGAAGTCATTGAATAGTTTTGATTTTTAGTGATGCTACTAACTGAAAGCAGGTTAGTACTAAGCTTTTTTGATGAATGGGGTTAGTACTAAGTTTAGGAACATGCAAACTAAGGAAAAGGAGGTGGCATCAGACAATTTAATGTCTCCTTTGCTAGAAATGGGAACAAGGGGGCCATAAGCAATGGACACTTTGTCTCTGCCAGAGGATAAGCAATAAGTAGTAAACAATGAGGATAAGCTAGCTAGTCATATGGTCAGATGCACCTAAATCTATAACCCAACAAGGTTCTTTTTTACTTGGGGCTGAAGCATGATATTGAAGCACTTGTACCTAAATGAGCAAATGCCGAAGTGGGAGTAGCAGATGTTGTAGCTGGTAGCTGAAATGAGGAGGCTGAAATGCCAACTGCACTTTCCAATTGAGTCAGAGCAGCTCGAACAACAACTAAAGTGTCTAGGGATGTGGCTCTTGTGCTAGAGGATGATACACCATCAATTGTAATTGCCACATTGGCATTCCCCTTTTTGTTTTTGAATTTTGTTGGAATTAGATGTGGATATAGCTTCCAACAAGTGTCCCTAATATGCTTTGGTTTCTTGCAATGATCACAAACTAACTCCCTCTTGTCTTCTTTCGTCATATCCCTTTCCTTGTCACCTTCAAACTTTGGTTTCGCTGTTATTAGGGATGATTCCATAGGCTGATATTGTAACATGACCTTTCTCCTACTTTCTTCATTGTGCACTATGGAATATGTCTAAGACAAGGTTACACTCTGTTTGTCGAGGAGTTGTTGCCTCACAATATCATATTCTGAATTCAGACCAGCTAGGAATTCAAAAACCCTATTGGTTTCACCTGTTTTCTATATGTTTGTGCATCCTTAACTTTCCCACTCAATTGTCTCTAGGTGATCAATTTCATGCCACATAGATTTCAAAGTGGAGAAGTAAATTGAGACTGGCTTCTCTCTTTGCTTAAGATTATTGACTTCACATTTCAGCTCATAGGCCTTAGCAATATTAAGTGGTTGGGAGTATGTTTCTCTCATGGTGTCTCAAATTTCCTTAACAGTTTTGGCCCACAAGTAATTTCGGCTGATATGAGGCTGCATGGAATTGCACAGCTAAGTTATGGCCAAATAGTTCTCCTGAACCCATTTGGCATATAATGGGTCTACCTTGGCTGGTTTCTTTACATTTCCCATCACATAGCCTAATTTCCCTCTTCTCCCAATAGCCATCATAGCTGACTGAGCCCATTCCAAGTAATTTGATCCATCAAATTTGACTGTGATAATCTGAAAAGTATTTCCAGTCATGTTTCCAGCCCCCAAAACACCTTCCCCTTGAGCCTTTAACTTAGTTCCCCCCAGCTCTATTAATTACTTTATCAAAAAGAGTTCTTTTTTATGTTGAAACTGAAGTAATTTTCACCCAGAAATGTTGAAACAGACCTAATAATCTCCCAAAGATTATTATCAATCAATCTGAAATGCTAAAACCGATCAAACTGTTACCCAAAAGCTAATAACAGTTAGAATACTAGGGTTTAAATCAGAGAACTGATCGTGGGTTTGGGAAAACCCTAAAAAAATCCAGAGAAATCAGAAAAAACCCAGCCGCTGCTTGCAGATCACTCTAATCAGTTTCTGATTGGTGTCGATCTCAAAGAAAAGTTGAAACTTACTCAGAACAGGCTGGCCGCCACTTCCAATCCTCAGTCTGAACCCTAATCTTGAATTTCTTTCCTTCCCTCTGATTCTTCCTGATCACCAGACACTTTTCAAGGCTCTACAATCCCTTGAAAACTGCTGCATTCTACCAGTAATCTCCAAGAACCAGCTGATAGGCCGATCTTGCTAAAACTTCCAACTTTAGGAAGTTCTCAAGCAGTTGGCCTGATTAGACTCACATGAGAAACCCTAGGTTGGCTTTGATACCAACTTGTCTTGTAAAGACTGTAATCAGTCCTACTCTAGATGAGAGTTCAACAAGAAAAATTCAGAGAACAGAAGAGAGAGAGAGAGAGAGAGAGTTCAGAAAAGTGTGTGGGTCAATAACACATTGCCGCCCCACTCAGCTATTTATGTTAATAGTTTAAAACATAGTAAACTTACAATATCGTCCCTACTGTTAATATACATATTAAATAAACAGCAGCAGAAAAATAACTAACTTACTGACACTACTAAYATGCTAACAGCAGCATAAATAACATATTATTGCTCTACAACTCTACACATTCGATAGTTTCTCTGTTTTGAGCGTGCAGTTTTCTCTATTTGCAGGATGGAGAGGCTTATGCTCATTTGCTAAATGTTCTTGCACCAGAGCATAGTAACCCATCTACACTGTCTGTAAAGGACCCTCTACAAAGAGCAGGGTTAATCCTTGAACATGCAGATAGGATGGGCTGCAAAAGATACTTGACCCCAAAAGATATAGTGGATGGTTCTCCAAACCTTAACCTAGCTTTCGTTGCACATATTTTCCAGCACAGGTGAGCAGAAAAAAGACTTAAATTTAAAGGATGTTCTCTATGTAACTTAGTTTATCATAATCTGAAATGGCTACCTTTGTCAATTTGAACACTGGAACATGACCACTCAAATGATATGAAATATTTAATTGAGCATCTAAGCACAATAGTGCATGTATTATGTTTTAATCACAGAGAAACATGCTTTTGCGTTTATATACTTAAAAAAAGGTTTGAAAGTTTATCTTTGTTATTGATAACGTTTCGTAGGAAAAATGGCATTTGTTGTGTACATGAGCTGTTCATTTGTGTCAATTAATCAAGGAGAGAAAGGAAACTTTTACATGGAAATATGCTTCAAGAATCTATTTAGTGCTAGAATCTGATGCGTGCAACACTGGTGGATTCATGAAATATTATATACCAACTCATGAAAGGAAAAATGTTAAACAATATATTCCTACATGTTTAGCAGTTATAGACCTTTGCTACTCTTAAGAGTTGCAGATTTCATACCAATTTAAGAACTCCTGAAATGATTCTTTTTTTTTTTTTTCTGATGAAAAGATCCCAGGTTGGTACTTGGTACCATGTGTTCTGATATCATGTCAGGCAACCTAATGCTCTGATACCATGATAATTGGCATAATAAAAGCTCTGGTACCCAGACAATCAGCATGACAGAGGCCTCGCCATGTCAGTTAAAGAAACAAAAAATAATTAACAGGGGAAAGCAATACAAAACCATAATGAGACCCATATGCTCATCTCTTGCATGGTTTACATTTCTCTTTCACACTATGGAGAATGAATATTGACTTAAATTAAATAATACCAGGTGCAAGAAATGTGTGATGGGTAAGTAATTGCTATTCATAGTGTGGCGGTTTTTAAATAATGCCAATTTAAGTCATAGTGTAATGAGTTGTTTTTAAATAATGCCATTCATAGTGTGGTGGTTGAAGGTCAAGAGGTAAGAGAGAGCCAAAAGATTGTAAGGATCTTTCATAATCATTTTAAGTCACTCTTCTTAGAATTAGATGCTTTTAGTTAAGGTTTACAGGAGTTGGAATGGAGTAGAATCTCTAAGGAGCAATCACAATTGTTGAAAAGAATCTTCTCAATGGAAGAAATTAAGGAAACAATCTTCTCAATGGATAGCTCTAAATCCCTTGGATTGGATGGTTTTTCTTTGGCATTCTACAAAGAGTGTTGTGAATTCCTGAAATTTAAGCTTCTGCAAGCCTTTATTGAATTTTATTTTAAAGGGGGAGACCCAAGATCCCTTATGGAGCAAATGGCACCTTTATCTCTTTGATCCCTAAAAAGGAAGAAATCTCTCCAAAGGACCTTAGCCTATAGGTCTCATTGGGAGTCTTTTATAAGTTTATATCGTAGGTTCTGGCTGAGAGGATTAAGCAGACCTTGCTTTCAGTGATATTGCCATTCCAAGGGGCCTTTTTGGAAGGAAGGGAAATTGTAGACCAAATGCTAGTAGCTAATGAATGTGCTGTCGAAAAAAGGAAAAGTAGAGTGCAGGGTTTGGTGTGAAACTGGATCTAGAAAAGGCTTATGACTTAGTGGACTAGAAATTTCTGCTAGAAGTCCTAGAGAAGCTAGGTCAAGGTCTTGGATAAAAGGTTGTGTTAGCTTAGTCCGCTATTCAGCTCTTATAAATGGGGTAGCAAAAGATTTCTTTCTAGCTAAGAGAGGAATAAGACAAAGTGACCCTTTATCCCCTTTTCTTTTTACCTTAGTGGCAGAGGTCTTGAGTAGTATGATTATGGCTGCAAATGCATATGGCCTGCTTAGGGGTCAAAGGATTGGTAGGAATCAAGTAGTTGTTTCCCACCTTCAGTTTGTTGATGACACAATTCTGTTTTGTGAGGATGTCGATTTAGAAATTGGTGAGGAATTTGAAGTTATTGATTGATAACTTTCTGATCATTCCAATGTTGAGGATTAATTGGAACCAAGGTTCAAAGTATCGACACAAGACGGTACGCTGTTAAGGCGTATCGGCCTGTATCGGTACTTTTTTTTTTAGGTTTTATTTATTTTTTTTGAAACCGGTTCAGAGGGGTTGGTTTAAGGCCCAACTACCCTCTGAACCAGTGTCTGACCTGATACAACCCCTAGAGGGGCACATCGGGAAGCCATCGACACGATAYGTATCAACCGATACATATCGGTACTTTGAACCTTGATTGGAACAAAAGTGGAATTGTTGGAATCAATTTGGAAGAAGGGAATTTCCAAGTTTGGTAGAGGTGTTGGGATGTGAGGTGAGGAATTGGTGTGTAACTTACCTTTGGGGGGAACCCACAAAGTTTGATGGTTTTGGGAAGCTAGTAGTAGAGAGGTTTGCTTAGAATAGCGAGACAATTAGAGAAGTATATGAGGAATTTTTTGTGGGGACCAGGTGAGGAACAGAAGGATCATTTGGGTAAGTAGGAGTAAGTTTGCAAACCAAAGGAATTACGGGGCCTAGGGGTAGGAAACATTGCTATCAGAAACACTATCCTATTGGGTAAATGGTTACGGAGATTCTCAGACAGGTTGTGGCATAAGGTAATAGCATGTATTCATGGTCTGGAGGGTAATGGTTGGGATGCTAAATTCAGTCCTCACTCAACTTTATCTTCTCCTTGGAAAGCAATTCACACGGTATACCCATTGTTCCTCAGTTATATCTGCTATGATTTGGGAAGGGGTGACAAAATTTGGTTATGGGAAGACCTTTGGATAGGGGAAGCTCCTTTTAAAAGACCAAATCCCTGGACAATTTGCCCTCTCTAACCTCATGGGTGAAACTGTGTCCAGATTGTGACTTCCTCTCCGTTAGGCATCAACTGGGACCTTGGTTTTAGAAGAAGTCTAAGGGTGAGTGAGTGCCTTTCTATGATTAACTTTCTTGACATCTTAGAGGCAGTTTTCTTGGATCCTACCTTGAAAGACTCTAGAATTTTGGCTTTCTCACTCGATGGACTCTTTACTTGTTCCTCTTTTTCCTTGCTTCACAAGGGGTGGACTTCTTGGTGAAAGAAGTGTGGACTAAGGTGGCATTTGATAAATCTGAAATCTGAAATCTGAAAAGTTAAAAAGATATTAAGTCTCTGAAATCTGAAAAGAGGCATTAATGCTTTTCTTCTTTTTAGAGGCTCTGAATAATTAAGCTTGTTTGTGTTTGACCATCCTTTAACATCTGAAATGCCCTGATTTTACTATATTACCCCTAGAATAGACTAGTTTTATCGAAATCATACAAAAAATATTGAAATAAATAATAATTGATAATAATTACTAAAAATAATTAGTAAATAATAAGTAACACAATTAAATTAATAAAAAATAATTAATCACTATTAAAAATAATAAAATAATTAAAATTTAATAAAAATTAAAATAATCAATACAAATTAATGGTTACTAATTAATAATTAATAATTTAGTACATGACAATCAGATCCCAAGAACAGAGATACAAGAAAAGAAATGCAAAATCAATTTTGTTTGAGGTTTGAAGCAAGTAAGCATGGAAGRGATTCCTGTCAAATTAGCTGACATACAAAAATATGCATTAGAGAGATTCCCATAGACGAGTCATCATACTCCTAAAGAGTGCTGATGTCCCTGTCTGTTCTATCATCACTTGCACGAACCGAATGTCAAAACATCAGTTATACAAGACCGATTGGCAGAAACAAACTTTCAAAACAGTAGAGTAGCAGAGAGGAAAAAGTGGCCTCAGATTAAGTTCTTTTCATAGTAGTAACTCATAGTATATTTAAGCCCATCATAGGCACAGAAGCAATACTGTTAGCAAGAACCTAACAAAAAGAAATGAATTAAAATCAATGAATAAGAAAGTAAATAAAAGAATCCAATGCCTCATCCTTGAAGAAGGCAAACAAATAATAGATAAAAGTGGTCTGTTCTTTCAGTCATTTGAAAATATAGCTGATTATGTCTCTTCATATTTCAAAATAACAGCCTTGCTTTATTTAAAGAAAAATAAGAGGAGTCCTCGAGATTCAATAAACATATCAAATAAACAAAGCATGGGTGTTTTCAGATTCAATAAACAACTAAGGCATCGTACAAAATAGCAGAGACATTCAATAAACAAACTGTAAATAGGAAAGAAGAAGAAGAAGACGATACCGCYGCTAGGCGCCTGACGCAAAATGAAGTTCTTACGGCCAAAACGAAGTTCTTTTGCGCCTGACGCAAAAGAAGACAATACCTTATGGCTTCTGCAATGTTCATGAGCAGAGAGGTCTTTCGCGTGTCTGAAACWAAATGCTCTAGGTTTTTGTTTTTTGGGTTTGGGGGTAATCAGGGGCATATGCACGCCATTTAGAAAATTATAGGGGGGGTAGTTTCAACCTTTTACTAGCTCTTAAACGCGTCTGAGCGCGTTAAGAGCCGGACTGCATGATTAATGTTTCAGATCTGAAAACGAGATTCAGATCTGTTTTCAGATGCATCACCAAACGCGTTTGGTGTCTGAAAAGCAAGTTTTTCAGACACCAGACGTCTGAAAAGAGTTATCAAACGCTAGGGCTGTTCATAAGAAGGCCCAATCCGACCAAACCGACCAACCCGGACCGACCCAATCCGAGTCGGCCGGGTTTTCATCAGTACCGGTCGGTTTCGGGTTGGGAAAATATATAAACCGATATATCGGGGGTTTCGGTTTTCTTGTGTGAAAACCGAAACCAACCCGACCCGAACCGAACTAGTAGAAGACTAGTTCGGTAGTTCCTAGTTTGAGTAGTTTCCTACTTAACTATAACTAATCTTCTACTAGAACTAGAAGGCCCATTAGGCAATTACAATTAGAATAAGCAATCTATCCTAGTTTCTAACTTTCTATAATCTTTTACACCAAATAGGCAACCGATTAGGCAATTACAATTAGAATTCAATTAGGTGTCCTTTTGTACAGGAGCAAAACCGAAACCGACCGAAACCG